GATGAGTCTTGCACAAGGCAATTTCTTACCAGCCTCTGCTAAATTTAGGAAAATTGCATTAACCTGGTCCACTCACACAAACGTGCTCACAGAGCTGATCAAGACAAAGTCTAGACAACACACTCTCATTAAACATGTCCATCAGAACTTCTTTAGGCTCTAACCTCTTTCAACATCCAGGTGGGATGAGATGCAAAGATTTCATATTCGCCAGGAAGCACTTTGAAGAAAGCAAACCTGTAAAGCAAGAAAAAGCTGATGCTGCTGAAGAGTCATTAACACCTGTTCACAGAAAAGCAATTCATATTCTTCGTGTGTTTCAGAACTTCTATAATCCCAGTCAATATGGCAGAACAGAAAGAATCTTGTGTGAACAAACAGATGAGGAATGCACGCATGCATATTCCCACACTCACTTTCCTCCAGGTTGGGTAATAGTTGCTTGTAAGTTTACATCACTGCCAGCATTTCTCAGTACAACCTGGACTCCAGCAGGACCTAATGACTGACCTTTGCTGAGAACCTGTCAAAATGAAAACAGTGCACAAGTGGATAAAAATAACTAGCAGAGGTAAATGTTTTTCTGAAGATAGAATTAGCATAAGATGGAATAAATAAACATAAAGGAATCTAACCTTTCCGTTCACAGAAAACCCTGTGAATACAAAGTTAATATCGCCTCCTTTCGTGCAAATGTCATTAATGCCATCTACATGGATGTCTACACTGGTCGGCTCTGGAGGGGAAGAACAATGAAACAGCATGGCAGTTAGTGACAAAAGAACCACAGAGACACTGTGCTTCAGCTTTACAAAACTCTTCCAGAAACGCACAAGCTCAAGTGCACCAGTTGTGCTCTGGAAGCCAAGTTAACCACCCACAAATTCTGATATTGAAAATCCTTCCCTGCTCATTAAAGATATTTTTATGAAAAATCCACATTATTTCTCATTAGTTCACGTGTTACTTCGTCAGTGTCTGCCTTAAAGCTCTATTTTTCTACTGTACAGTCAGTATATTTATTAAAACCAAATAGGGTTTCTACCTTTTACACAGCACGTGATTTTTCCCTGCCAAATGCAAGCTAGCAGTAGTTGAAGTCCCACACTGCAAATACAGTGCCCTATTATAAGAAGAGATACGAACACTCACCAAAACTCCATCCCAGAGGAGGCTCAATTTTAAGAATGAAATCCCCCTAAAAATAATTTAAAAAAGCAATAACAGTCTTCACTGACCTGATTCAATTTAACTGAAGAATGAAAAAAAAAGTCAGAATACAAGCACAATGCTGCATAGAGTAATACAAGACACAAGAACCCCATTCTCCTCTCCTTCTAACCACTATTATGCTGTGTTCAAAAAGCTGCAGAACCTACCCAGACAGTCTGCAATGTTGAGCTTGTATCCTGACAGCTAAGAGCAAGAGTTAAGCAGCATCATGTTTATAATGCATCTACATCAAAGCTGGCTCATGCACAAGCAGTTCAGTGTTAGAAAGTGTTCAGATCTCTCTACCTGCTTCAACAGATGTGCTCTAAAACTACCTTTAGTGTTTCCAGTGGGTGGTTCTACTCATACATTCTGCCCAAACATGAGATAACAAAATTCCAATCCTACTAAAAGTTCTGTGCCAAAAAGGCACCAATCTACACAGAGATCCTCTTTAAATCAGCAGACACCACATGGGTTCTGAAGTTCGGCCATTAAAAGGCCCTGAGACCTAAGAAGGAAACAAAAGTCTAATGTCCTCAGATTTGAAGCGGATTTATTTCCAAACCACAAGCTAACCAATTCTTTACCAGAGCAAAACACTCAGATCACTTGAGGGCAGCTTGTATCTAATTTGAAAGTAAATATTTTTCCAGTCTAAATAAACACCAAAATATTGCTACATTCTAAGCTTTCGATTTCTTTATTTTAATGCTTAAGTCATATCTAATATCAGCAACTAGCCATTCAAATTATTTTCAATTCAATCATATCAAAACAGATATAGCAGAGATACTGCTGTTGCTACTGGCAGGTAACTGAAAAGCTTTATCCATACTCACACTGCCAGGACCTACACTTTTCTTTCAGCATTCCTACAGCTACGAGCACTGCACAGCTGAAGCTACCTGGCTTCTTCACTGTAACACCACTGAGAAATAGAGTAACTGTATTACAAACAGAAAACCAAAGGAAGGGAAGTTGCATCCAAGCGTAACAAAATTATGTGCTGATTCAAATGCTGTTCCGATGGCAGCAGCTCGTGCCTCTGCTGCAGAGAAGATATTGCAGTATTTTGGTTTCTTACCTTATCATAGAGGGGAATCATAAAATACCCATTGTTTGGAGCACAATCTGTCTGGTATTTGAGAGTACCATGCTTTGTGTACAACTTAATCTATAAGAAAAAAAAAAAGATATTTTAAGAAACGCAACCAGAAGCAGAACCAGGAATTCTCCAAGCAAGTGTTTTTATACACAGCAGAGGGTGCACATCCCCCAGCGGCAAAAGAGGTAACGGGGCAAAGGTTTACCGCAGGGCTGCCAGGGGAACCGCGGCACAGAGCTCAGCTCCGGGCTCGGGGGAAATCAGCGAGCGCTTAAACGAGAACCGCCCGGAGCAAGCCGGGTCCCGGCAAGCAGCAGCCGGAGCACGGGGCCCATCCTGCCGTCAGCCCGCCGGGCCGCACGGCCGCAACTCGGGAGGGAAAGGGGTGGCGGGAGCCGGCGCTGCACCCGGCGCTGCAAGGGGTCCCGCGGTGCGGCGCTGCGAAGGGGCGGCGAGGGCGCCCACCTCGATGAGGGAGTAGTTGATCTCCACGTCGGACTTGACGAAGCCGCCGCAGCCCACCACGATGTCCTCGGAGCCCCGCGCCAGGGCGCAGCACAGGGCGCAGCACAGCGCGGCCGTCCAGGCCCGCATGCCGCCGCCACCGACCTGACTCAGCGCCGCGCTGCCGGAAGGGCCGGGCGGGGCGCGGTGATACCGATGCCGCCCTCTACCGGCTCGGCGGCCCCGCTGCTAGCCGACACCTCCGTCCCCATCCCGCAGCCGGGCCGTGACGAGTGGCGGGCGGTTCCCATGCGGCGCCGTGGCGGTGAAGCCCGCGACCCAGAGCGCCGAGCCGGAAAGTCCCGGCCGCAGCCCCTCGGGCCCGAGCCGCACCTCCGCCTCCCGCCCCCGCGGCCGGCGCCGTCCCCTTTGCCCTCCTGCAGCGCTCGGCCGGACTTTGCTCGCCGCCCCGGCGCCCGGCTCACCTCGCTCCTGGCGGCGCGGGGCTGTCCGTCCGTCGAGGACGCGACTTTCCCGCCCGTGCTGAGGCACCCCGTGGCGCCGCGGTGGACGGGCACCATGGCGGCGGGCCGGCTGTGCGGCTCCTCGACCGGGCTGTGGGTGAGTGCGGGCCCCGCCGGCGGCCCGGGGCAGCGCCGGCTCGAGCTGAAGCGCGGACTCGTTTCGCTCAAAGCGACAACGCCGATCCGACTCAACCGCCCAGCCTTCTCTGCCAGAATTGCTGCCGGCCGAGCTTTCCCCACGGGTTGCTCAAGCTTTGGCATCGGACTGATCGTCCCCGGTCAGAGAAGTTGTTAAAGACAGCTGGGGAAATGCAGTTGTGATGCAGTTTATGCTCCAGGATACTTCTTATCTCTGTTGCACCGGGTTTCTCTACTGACCATTCCCAAGCGCTAATAATCTTTTTGATTCCAAAATTGTTATTTCTCATTCTACATTCCACTTAAATTTCCTCTTTCTCTCTCTTTCCTCCTTAGTTCTGATAGATGATTCATTTTCTCTGGCGCTTTTCAAACCCTTTTTTCCTCTTTCCATTTCCATTCCCTGCAGAATGCTGCTGCGTTGTCTCCAGCAGCTCTCTGTTGCCAAATGCTCTTCACGTTTGAAACTCCACATCAAGTTTCTTTAACATCATCTCAGTTGAACTATGAGCAATTTGCATTGGCTGGTGAAATTCTGCATACATTAGCATTACTGTTTCACTTCTCTGTTGGTTCTGTGACAGGACTGGAACCAGACGTGGTACACCAACAGCCCAAGATTTACCTGGTGCTTCGAGAACACAGTCCTTGCTTGGATCCCCTGTGCCTATCTGTGGATCTGTTTTCCTTTCTACTACTTGTACCTTCGACACAAAAACAGAGGCTATATCAGGATGTCCCACATCTTCAAAATCAAAATGGTAAAAGTGGAGGATGGGATTTGATCCTAACACTACTGCAATTTTGATGCACAGTTTAATTTTTATAAATCATTAACTCTTTTCTGATGATCCATCTCTGTGCTTGTATTGACATTTATTCACTCAGGTAAAAGTCACATCAGTACAAATCAAGTAAATCTTCAGGAATAACTATTGCGAGATCTTTTCCCCTGCAGCTCCATGTAGTTTCCTGCTACTTTCCATAATGCTCTGTCTCAAACCTGCTCTGTTACTTCTTCAGTCTTCTAGCCCAGCCTTCTTGGAGCAGGCAGTTCAGTAGGCTGGCCCAGCATCTTTTTACTTCATTCCAATATGTTTTTGCTGTCTCTGCCCCAGGTCCTTGGATTCCTCTTGGTAATACTGTGTTTTTCTAATGTCTTCTTTGTACTGTGGGAAATAAGCCAAGGAATCCCTCGGACTCCAGCATTCTTCATTAGCCCGGCAGTGTTGGGGATCACAATGGTAATTCTTCTTTTGTCCTGTGTGTGGCCCAGCTTAGCCTTCTGGGGGCACTTCTGATATTTCCCATATTTTTGAGTGTCTCTGAGCACAAAGATAGCTGATGGGGAATATAACACCGGAGCTTTGCTCTTTGAGTTTCTGCTCTATGAAGCGGTAGGGGACAAGAGTTGAGGCAGCTACATTATATAGCTCTGTGAGATGCGTATACCTCACAAGAGCCAAAGCAGCTATATTTAGAAGGAGGTTTTATAACAGGACAAGATCCAGTTTCCCATAACCACAGTATGTTAGTTAGTATGGTTGGATCTTAATGAATGAAATGGGATTTCCTTTTGACTAAATGCCTCCCCTTCAGTTACGGCACCTTCACAGCCTAGAGCCTTCCAGCCTGTTGGCCCAGTTGTGGTTTTATTACTTGCTCTTTCAGTAATGACATTCTGCAGCACAAACTGCTCGTAATACATTCAGTTTTAGCCTTACAATAGTTCAGCTCTAAGTACCTTGAAATGTTTGGACAAGAAACTGATTTTGCTTTATTGTGTCCATTAACTTGATAGTAATGTTTGGCATTTCACTACCAGCTATTTACCTGGAGGTATTTCTGCTTCCTCACAGATCCTTGCCATGTTCCTTACCCAAGCAGAAAGAATGATGGGCATCCAGTCTTCAGGCATCATGTTGATTTACTGGCTGCTCACATTCTTGTCTGCACTTGTGATGTTTAGTTCCAAAATCCAACATGGCCTGGAAAGAGTAAGTGAAATCATGTATCTTTAACCTGAAAGGGTATGAAGGCTCTGAACAATATGGTTCTTTTTGCCTCATTGATAGTGAGGAGAAGAACTGAATTCCTTTCTTAATGTCTGTGCTAAGAAAAATGATTAATGAGTCTGATCTCCACTCATGTTATCCCTTGCAATACAGAGAGAGCATGGTTTTCTGAGTGTTCATCAGATTTCACATATAAAAAAAAAAGCAAATTAATGTAAACACCAAATGTAGCCTTAGGCTCAGGCTCCAGGCCTCTTCCATAATTAACAATTCACCAATTCTTGCTCTGAAAAAAATATTCAGACTTCTGCCTTGTTGGGTGTTTCTGTTTTTGTCTTTCTTGGTCACAAAATTAATTAGTGAGCCCTTTATGGAGCCCCATACACCCTACTTAATAAACCCCAGCAGCTGTTTCATTCTGTCAGTGACTTATCCCACTATGTGAGCACAATCTATGTGAGCACAATGTCAAAGCACTTCAAGTTCTCTGAACAATTATGCAGTGTAGACGTTAAGTATGTTGTGAAGTGTCATGATAAAGCATTACTGTAAATGATAAATGAATCCATTATTCAGTAGTTTCTGGTGTTCCCGTTCTAGGAATTACCTATTTCAATAGTTACACAACTGTAATTTAAATAAATGTAAGTACAAAAAATAAAACCAAGCATCAAACAAAAACTCAGCCTATGGCTTGCAGAGTATGAAGAAGCCATCTTTCCCCATTGATTTCATTCTCAGCAGTATTCTGTTTCTTAGGGGTTCTTGGAAGACTTTTTCCACCATGTTGCCACTTACCTTTATGCTAGCCTGGTGCTTGGTGAACTTGTGTTATTCTGCTTAGTGGATCACCCTCCTTTCTTCACTAAAGCTGTCAACAGTTCTGTAAGTATAATGTAGCTTTTCATAATGCTTTGCTTCGTTGCTCAAGCAAGTTTAAACTTCTGGGGATACACAGGAACGTGATTATCTGAGAGGTGCAAAATACATCATTCTGTATAAAGGCCAATGGTATTAAAAGGTAACCAGCAGAACTGGGGATAACAACTCCATCTTTTGTGTGTTTTGAAAAACTAGTGACCTCTCCACACTCTTGCTTCTTTTCATTGAAATCAGCATATAGAGCTTATTTTGCTTCTGCCTGGTCTTCAGTAAACCAGTACATTCCTCTATCTGTGGTACATGTATGGCAGAACTAAGTGCTTCAGAAAGTGAATATCGTTGGATATGCAGGATGGTATTCTGAGACATTATTTGAAGTCTAATTCTCCAAAGTCCCATAGATCCCTCACAATACATTGCCACAGGCAAGGAGTGGGGGCTGGGTAGCCTTTTGCTTGTTTTTCTTGGAAAAGTGCAGGAGGGATATCATATGACACGTTCCCTTTTCTCCATATAAATATCATCCATGTTTTTCTTCCCATCAGAATCAATGTCCAGAAGCCAGCAGCTCTTTTCTGTCCAAAATCACATACTGGTGGTTCTCTGGGTAAGAAAACACAGAAAAGACAAGGGTTTGCTATAATATCAGGGAAAAAATAAAAAAGAAAAAAACAAAAAAACAAAAAAACAAAACCAGCATAAGAGAGGGTGTAGATGAGAAGCAGTTGAAGCATCTCTGCTCTGCTCCCAGGTTAACTTATGTAGTGAGGTTTTAAATTCCTTCTCTGAGGACTTGAGGTATTTTCTCAAGATCTAATTGTAAAATGTAGCTTATTTTTCTCAAAATAGTTTAAAACACAAATTTGTGATTCCAGATAATTCCTCACTCCTACCTACCTGCCCAGGACCTTTTCATCTTCAAATAGACATCAGCAGTCTCAAGAGATTGCTGTACACCAGCCACAGCCCTGCCTGCCAGACCTTCTTGTAACAAATGCTGGGCAGAGAGAAAATACTGAAAGATGATTTTGCCTCAGCCTTCTGCTTAGCAGTCAGAAGTAAAATGATTACATACCTTGGACCTTATGTCAGCAATGGTAATGCCTCCTCTGTTTCACTTAGCCACAGATTAAGTTAAAATGAACTTTGTCCCCCTCTGCCCAAGACCCAGCTGTCACTATCAACTAAACTTAGAATTAGGGCTTACTTGCAAATAATAATTATACTGACAGAAGATAGCATAGGGGTTTGAAGCAAAACAGCTGTTCCTAAATATTCATATGTATTCAGGGAAAGGATATTCCTAAGTAGTATTTACAGAATTCACTGTGTAGCACTGAATCAAGGCCCATCTGTTTTGAAAATATTACATGTGCAACAAATACTTTTGTGCTTACTTATTGGCTGTCTGTGTTTTCCAGGCTTGTCTGGAAAGGCTGTCGGCAGTCTTTGGGGGTGGATGACCTGTGGTCAGTGAGGAAAGAGGACTCCTCTGAAGAAATTGTTTCCTGGGCTGAGAGGGAGTGGAAGAAGTATAACAACAAAAGGAAGCAGTGAGTACTTAATCTAGAGTGTGTCATGGATGCAGCTGGCATTTCTCTCTCCTTTAGATGCTACCAACAAATATGCCTGCAGGGACTGGTATGCCATCTCTGAACAGACTTGAATCTCCTCCACTCCCCACAAAGGGACAGACATCAAAATCATAGAATCATTTTAGTTGAAAGGGACCTTTAAAGGTCATTTATTCCAACTCCCCTGGAACAAAAAGGGGCATCTCCAGTTAGATCAGGTTGCACAGAGCCCAGTCCAGCCTGAACTTGAACATCTCCAGGTACGAAACATTCACCGCAGTATCCAGACAGCTTCAGTACATATTCAGGCTCTCAGTGTGAGCTTTGCTGGTGCTTCCAACACAGATGGAAGCATCCTGTCCATCTAGACAAAGGAAGATTTGAAAGATTCAATCCTACTGAATTATCTGGCTATTAAACAAGAAGAAAATATAGTTACTCAGATTTTATGTTGACTGTCTGTTAGAAAAACATGGGAGTCTCCTCTGTTCAGTGGGTAAACAGTGAAAGTATTTTTGTGCAACACCTAAGTGATGAAATATGCTGAACAACAACTCTTAATTCCTAGAAGCTTGGTTCTGATGAGAGGGATCATTTTTTGACCTGTATTTATACTGGACAGGGCACAAGATCCAGCCTGAGCTATTTCATGACTTTTTGAAAACACAAGATGCAATTTTTTTCAGTTACAGTTAGCTTTTCCACTATTTCTTTCTTTAGAAAAATGGAGTCTGCTACTTTTAAAAAGAGTCAGAATGAAACTGACATTGGAGAAGCTGAAGAGACAGAGGTTCTACTGCAGTCAGAGCACAGTCAGAGTGGGCCGTTGCTGCAAGCATTTTGGAGCATGTTTGGAATCTATTTCCTGCTCAGCACCCTTTGCTTAGTTATATGTGATGCATTCTTGTTCTCCATCCCAAAGATACTGAGGTATGTGCCTATTTGGAATTTATTTCCCAAAGAAACACCACATGTATCATAAGACTGCTGCATGCATGAGCTCACCCAGAGAAATATATGTCAGCACTCACAGAAGTAGATAAACAGACTTTTAGCTTCTGCAATCTCTGATTGCTGTTGAAAGGAGCAGGATTACCATTCATTCTAAGCCCACAGTCACCTCTGTCACTTTCTACAGCTGTGTACATTTCTTTACCGCTATGTGGAAAGGACCAGTTGCCCTGAGCTTTGTGGCAACTTTGCAAGAACCAGAGTAAGCATTATTTGGTGGTTCTGTGTACTGCATGCATTGCACAGGCTGTCAGCAATTTGCAGTAGACTCATGGCTCTATGTTCCTTTACTAATCATAAAGCATACAGCTGAGCATCCTACACATCTTCAGTAGCATCTTTAGTTAGTGGATCGTTACACTTTGTGGATTATGTTGGTACAACACAAACCTGCACTGCAATTTGTTTTCAAAGGCAAAAACACTTCTCAGTCATTAGAAGCAGCTGTGGAAACGTGGAAATCAGTGACTTCCTCAGATTCTCACTTCTTATTTGCATGTTTCTGACAAATTCACAGAATTCAGGTGCCATCTGAGATAGATCAGAGATTACTTCAAAACCAAGAGTGTCAAATGTCAAAAACGAGATATTGCAGACACAGGAAACGTAGCAGCTTTCCCATCTCTTCTACTATTTTACTGACAAAGGTCAGCTAGAGAATACAGAAAAATCGCTGGAATTTCATTTCCGACACTGCATCAGTTCTACACAGATTAACCAATATTGTGCTCCTGTCTTGCAGCCTTTTCCTTGAGTTCATTGAAGATCAAGAGGCCCCTAGCTGGCATGGTTATTTCTATGCCTTCATTCTGGTTCTTTTAGCTTGCCTCCAGACTCTATTTGAACAACGATATATGTACATGTGTCTTGTTCTGGGTCTGAGATTGAAAACTGCAGTAACAGGGCTCGTATACAGGAAGGTGAGTCTGTGAGCTTCCTTTTCAACTTCATTTTTTTTCTAGCCTAACATTAGTTATTGTGACGTTGTTGCATGGTTCTCAACAATGAGGGAATATGCTATTAGAGATCTACTTCTAGCATGTAATTCTGTGCTGTATTCATCTCTGAATAGTGTGTGAGGTATTTTACTGTTTGTCTTTCAGATCTTACCTCTGAAGAGAAAGACAAGAAAAGGAAAGATAGTTGGGAAAGGGAGTAAATTTTTCATTCTCAAGTGAAGTCACATATTTCAGGCATCAGCACATTTTCACTACCTACGATTTGATCTTTTTTTTTTTTTCTCCATAAGGAAAAGAAAGTTCTTGATTTTTGGATCAAAGCTGTTGTGTTGATTTATACTTCCTTCTCTACCCTGTTTAGATCCTAATCTTGTCAAATGCATCAAGGAAAGCAGTAACAGTAGGTGAAATTGTTAATCTGGTATCCGTTGATGTCCAAAAGCTAATGGATCTCATTATCTATTTTAATGGAACCTGGCTTGCTCCTATTCGGATTATCATCTGCTTTGTCTTCTTGTGGCAGGTAAAATATGATGACAGTACATAGCAATCAATTTCCATTCTGGGTATCAAAGGAAAAAGGACTTTTCAAAATTCATCTTAGAGTTTTGCTGGTCTGAGCAACCTGAAATTGCCATGGTTTTTTTAGCTGTGTAGCATGGAAAATTCACTTCTATTGTCAGAAGTTATTTTTATTAGTATAGAGTCTTTTCCTGATTCTTGACTATCTTCTTACCTGTATATTCAGTATTCAGTCTCTTTTAGGGAAAAAAGTGTGATTATAATTGTTCTGAGCTGACTGATAAACTTCTACCTGCAATTTTCCTCTGCCTGCTCTCGTTCCAGTCAAAATGTAGTGGCCCACTGCAGGCTCTAGGTCCAGTCGCAGCTCTCCTGCACAGTAACAGAACGTAAAGAAAAATGGTTGTAGTAACAACTTGATCTGCTTCATCCTGAAGGTTTGTTACCATAAGATCAGCAAAAGAAACAGAAGCAAAGTTCTATGATATTCAAAAGGAGTATTGGATATGCTGAATTGCACAGATATCAAGGAGTTCTGCAAGGAGAGAGCAAAACCCAAATGAGAATCAACGATGCTAATCTGAAAGATCCCTTTTTCCCCTAATGCATTGTATGGCATTTTCTCAGTAGGATAAGGTTGTATTTCTTTGCCTGTTCTTGACAGTGTGCAAAGTGGAAGTATGAGCACAGCAGAGACAATTTCTAAGAGCTTTCCAGAGGCCTTTGAGACCTTCCTCCACTAGGCAGGATGGACTAGTGCCAGGTGCCTACGGTGTGCCATGACCCTGGAAAGTAAATTGGTAGCTGTGGTATGAACAGTTTAAAGTCCATCAGCCCTTTCTATTGATGTTGCCAAGCTGAATGTGCTCGTGTGTACTGAGTTACATGAGAGTTTTCAGTGGCAACTTGCAGATTGCTTTAAGTTTTTCTAACTTTTAAAAATTAACATTTTATTTGCTAGTTTATAAACCATTTGTGTAAGGAATACATTTGTCTGCTTGTATATCAGCACTCACATTTCTAGCAAATGCTGTTTGCAGAGATGTGACTAAACCACAAGAAACAAACTCCCTGTTTTGGTGTGGAAGTTAAGAACTCGAGCTCTCCACGAGTATGTGGCACTGTACTTGATGGCTGCCATTTCATCTCACTAATTCATGTAAATTCAGGCAAACTTGGTTATTTATGTTGCAAGAATAGCTTGTTTTCTAAACAAAGTCTGTTTTTGTTTGGTGTCACTTCCATATGCCAGCCACAAGATGTCCTCCTTGATAAATCCAAGAGCAGGTGGGAAGCAAATGACTTGAACCACCAAGCCTGCTTCTGGATCTCTCTCAGCACGAATCTAGTTCCTAAAAGGAAAGCAAATAAATTCAGCAGAGTACGATGACAGGAGTTACCCTGCTTGGAGAATGAGCAACCCACAGTGTTTACACAGCTCAGCTCCCAAGAAAGGCAAAGGCTGGACTAGAGAAAAACCTTAGACTTCAGGGATGCTAATCATAGGTTTCAAAGAAGGAATGTGAGCAAGAGGGAGCAGAAGACTGTCATGTATAGTAAAACCAAAAGTTCCTCCACTTTCCTTTTTTCTCCTGGCAGCTCCTTGGGCCATCAGCCTTGGCTTCAATTGCTGTATTCCTTTTTCTTTTGCCTCTGAATTTTATGATCACCAAGAAGAGGAGTCATTTCCAGGTACATTTTGCTTCATAAAAATGAAGTTTTTTACTAACATGAATTATGCTAGGATTCAACTTTAAAATCTAAGTTAAAGGCTGCCATGCTCTCCTGGGGAAGGATTACATGTAACCCAATGCTACAGAAAAAAAATTGAAGGCTGATGGTTATAATAGGCAAGTTGCTAAGTTTTGTATTGGTGTGTATCACTATCATTTGGCTTTAAGTGATGGGTTAATATATATTATTCACAACGACTACGACTCTCTGAACCTAGGAGAATTCAAAGCCTACAAAGTTACTTGAGGTTTAGAGTAAGCTCATCTGCCTTCTTTTACTTTGTGTTTGCTGAACTTTTCTGCTTTTGTATTTATTGCCAGTAAAAACAATGCTCTAAAAAAGAAAAGCAAAATGTCCCCAATCTCAAAGATTTACAAGCAAAAGAGCATACACAGCTGAACTGCAGGGAAATTTATTCAGAGCTCATGGGCAGGATTAAAGTGGTTTTTCAGAATAATTGCTCAGTTATATATTCAACCTATTAAATGACAAACTCAAACATTTATTACAGGAGGCCCAGATGAAGCATAAAGACGAGAGGGCCAAACTTACCAATGCCATTCTTAGTGACATTAAAGTAATCAAGCTCTATGGTTGGGAAAAAACCTTCATGGAAAAAGTGCATGCTATCCGGGAGCAAGAACTTCAGGCTCTAAAAAGATCTCAGATTCTCTTTTCAGCATCTCTAGCTTCTTTCCATTCATCAACTTTCCTGGTGAGTGGTTCATCCTCCTACACAAAACATGCACTGTTACTTCCACTTCTCTTCGTGGTACTGTCTGGACAGATTCTCCCTGTTGGGCAGCTAAAGATAATATCTGTGTGGAGCAGCTGGTGGTCTCACAGGAGGAGCTGAGCCCCAGTGATCAGCCACACATACTTTTACTGTCCTAACAGTTCTGTTAACACTTCACCTTGTCTCATGATGTGCTCCAAGCAGATGAAGTCTGCTTTGTAAAAACCACCAGGAGACCTCCAGCTACACGGAGTTCAGAACACAATCAGTAACAGCACAAGCCACTTTTGCTGTACTGTTGCAGGTCAGCCATATATGCTTTTAATGGAAGATGGCCACGTTTTCATCTTACTGCAATTGCAGCACCAAACCTTCCTTAAAGCAGACCAAACATCAAATGATCAGACTTGGTTTATCACCAACATGCAAGACCACACCTGTGATATTTGCAGAACAGCAGTGTAATGTATGTGAATGATAACCTAGATTTAACTAAGTGAATTCCAGAGTATTTAGAAAGGGATCTGCCAACTATGAATCATTCTCTTTTCCTTGTCTGAAGCAAATGGTTTGGTTTTGCTTTGCTCTCTTCCAGATTGCATTTGTCATGTTTGCTGTCTATACCCTGGTGGATAACACACACGTCCTGGATGCTCAGAAGGCCTTTGTATCTTTAACACTGATCAACATTCTCAACACCGCGCACTCATTCCTGCCATTCTCCATAAATGCTGCTGTCCAGGTTAATTGCAGGCTATGTTTGTTTTTCTTTGGCCACAATTGTTTTTTTACATATCACCATTAAAAGGTAAAGATGGGAACGTCTTAATGGCTTTGAGACTCAGGTCAGCTATTTAATTGCTATTTCGAAACAGTGAAGTGCAAGGACTTGCAGCTAGTATTTTTTAAGTACTGTTTTTCAGAAAGACTCCATATGACAAAATAGTCCCCAGGAGTAGTTCTTAAATCTTTCAGGGCCTTATAAGCATCATGCTGCGCAAGGCAGGATTCTAATGTTTTTTCCATTGGGCAGTATCTGTGCTTCACTGCCCCTGGAAGCATTGTTAGTCTTATATCACAAGCAGCAGTAGACATGAGATGGGCTTCTAGTTCTGCTATTAATCACAAGAGACCAGAGCAGTGGGGCAAAAATCTCCATGGCAGACCAGGGAAACCTTGCTAGGCCAAGCCAGAGATAAAAGCAAGTCATTTTTCAGTGAGAATTGGGAAATTGCTCTTCTCTTTTGCACCACAAGAAGGCTGTTCTGACTCTTCATACACAGGAGCAATTGCTAAAAAAATTGCAAGCCGAATTTGGAGGAAAAAGCACCAATATTCAAAGATGTGAACAGAAGAAAAAAACACATGGAAGAACAAACCTTTCTGATGAGCTAAGTGAAAGTAAAGGCAATTAACTTAGGGAAGAGTTGCATTTGATGCATTTGTCCATCTATGCCTACAGCATCTGCAACGCAGCACCAAGTCAACAGTCTTCAGTGGGTTTTCAGGTTAAGTCTTTTAGTTGTAGTTCCCTTTCTATTCTAAATCTTAGTGTGTGTGTGCTTCTTCATTTCAGGCCAAAATTTCTTTAAAACGCTTAGCAGCTTTTCTGAATCTGGAAGAACTGAATCCTGAAAGCTCAAACAGAAACACTTCTGACTGTGGTGAGCTTTTGTGTTAGTATTGTTGTCTTACAAGAGGAATAGTTCATTGTTCAGCTTCTACTATGATGTCTGCCATAGTCGAGAGAGAAAATTATTTGCCCCTCACCATCATTTTGTTTCTGAGGCCTAGTAATTTCTAACAGTGAAATTTAGTCTGGTAATCAGCCCCTTCTTTTGATACTCAAGGTTGATTTTATGTAAGTACATAGTGAAACATAGGGATGTTTTCTGTAGTTACTTTTGAATTTACAAATGTTCTATTTCTCCTATTTTAGTACAGGCAAGTATCATCGTAAGAAATGGAACTTTCTGCTGGAGCAAAGACACTTCTCCCTGTCTTAGAAGGTACAGTCTTAAGCTTTGTCTGCTCAGTTCCGTAGCTCAGAGTGGGAGCTGAAAGAATGAATTGTTCAGAGCCCAGAGTGAAAGTAGTGTAGAATACATAGAGGTTTCTGCTTCATATTTCACATTGAATCCCAACAATTAAGTCAGATAAAATGGATTCTTTCTTCTATTCCTGTTCTAATAGGAGTACAGAAACAGGAAGGTTTCGGTATCTAGATATTGCCTCAATACATAGAGACTGTACTTACCAATTATTCACTGAAATGTGGAATTAGAT